TTAAAATGAAGATAATAATTAGGTTTTAATTACTGCATCTTTCTAAGGGGGGAGGGGAGGAAATGCCTCTCAAAGCACTGAAGTATTTCCTTTACGCTTTGCTCTGTTACATCTAAGCCTTGAAAGAGTCTCAGAGACATTTTTCTGCCGGGAGACTTCTATTTCCTTTTCTTTCCTTCCTGTTTTTAAAGTACTGAGAACTAGTTCTAAAGGATTTGTTTGGACACACTGAATCATATCACAGTAGTAAGAGCCACTGTTCTTTCTAATCAAATTACCAAAAATACTTTTCACAAAAGTAACTCAAGCAGCTGATTAATGAAGTGGTGCCACTGTTTTGTATTATAATTAATAATATAATTATAATTAATTGAAGTAATACAAGTAACTTCTGTAGCCTGTGGAAATTATCTCCTTTGCAAAGCAGTCTACTAGAGTTAGCAAACTAGCAGGGGGAAGTTTTTTTGTGTTTTTTTAATTTCTTGTTGCCTTCATAATCCGTAAATCATAGGTGACACAATGGAAAATAGTAAATTACAAAGAATACAAAATAACAACACCACCAAAAAGAGGGCCTGAAGAAATAGGAGAGAGTGAAGCACAGAAGAAAGCAAAAGGGCAGAAAACAATGACAATGCAGAAAAGATTTAAAGGGTCATGAGTGTGGGGGGACTATAGAGAACTATGGGAATCTGGGACATGCCAAAGAGTAAATAAAAGACTTCAACCTACTGTAGAGGAATATGAGTAATCTAAAAAGCATTGACCATCACATCTTACTTTGGTTAATACAGGAATTCACAATGGTTCAAAGAAAATAAATCTAATTAGGGGCATTTAGTTTTCTGCCCTGTTCAAATGTAGCCTTTCAAGATATGGAGGTTTTACATGCTGCTTAAAAGGTAGAATAGCATTATATCTAGGTAAGTAAAACATAAGAATTGGAATCATAAGCTCAGTCTTCTGCTACTTTGTTGTTGTGAATTTCCATCAACTTTTCCTTCTGTTTATTTTTCCCTTTTTCCTTTCCTCAGACATTTCTTACCTGGATTCTCTAGGTCACCATGCTGCTGCCCTTAGCTACTGAAGGGATTTTAAAGGTTGGTGTATTAGCCACTCAGGCACCCTGTTAAGAGGATGGAGGAGAAGGAGACATCTCAGCTGAAGTTCCTTGGGATGTAATCTAAAACAGCCAACACTGAGGGAGGGGCCTTCTAATTTCAGCACCTAAATGCAGCTGCCACCAACCTTTCTTCCCTAACATAAAACCTAGTGAGAGGCTGTGCATCTTGAGTTCTCCTTAGGTGCTGTGTTTAGGGTAGGAAGATATTCACCAATGGTTAAATCTTTCCAGTTCCCCTTACTTTCAGGTAGTTGAGCTTTGGCATTTCTAAAAGAGAGAAGGGAAGGTGGACATTGTCAATTTTTCCACCCTCTCTATGCAAGATTGAGAAAACCAAGTTTAATTCTCTGTTCTTGCCAGAAAGGTTGCAAACCTATGTCTGCTGCTTCTGGAAACATCCCCTACTCACTGACTGTGTTGTTACGGAGTGAGGGAGTTGGGATTGTTCTCCACTTTCATTTCAATGTGGAAAAAAATGCGCCATTGTTTACTGGGCCAGAGAGACGTGGAGTGAGAGCACAAGAGGGCCTTGCTGCAGAGCTGAGTTTTTTAGGCATTTTTGAGACAGGAGAAGAGATGGTGCTACCATTCAGTCCAGTGTCTTCAAACATCAGCAGCTGTAGGGACAAGACAAATACTAAGCTAGTTGTTGCAGTCAAGCCAGGGTGAACTTGGACACTTGTGGAGGCACAGATGACCTTCAGGAGCTCTGGAAATACAAAAGCGTTGTGTCTGTGAAGCCTCCTTTCCTAATGTATGCCCTAGTGAGTATTCCCTGGCACATGTGGGAGGGAGATTATTTTATTTTCATGACTGAACATTTTATACCCTAGTTTTATGCTTAGCTGTGGGAAAATTTGCTTTCCAGTGTTCATAATTTGCCAGTTTTGTTAAGAAGACACCATCCGTTTCCTGTTACGTAATCTGTGTAATCTTAAGTTCCTCCTGGGAAGGCAGGTTGGAGATTTGCATTTGGCCTCCTGATGCTACGGGAAACAGTTCTGCAACTGTATTAAACCTGTTTCTTTGAATTAATATTTTGTTGGCCAAGCAAAATGAATTTTTTCATTGTATGTTATTTTTATATTAGAAGCTTAATTTTTCTGTCAAAGGAATGAAAAACTGTGCTGAATGCAAACTGTATACCTTTGGTTCCTTCGTCTGTTTATTGCTGGTTTAAATGCAATTTTTAAAAAAATGTTTGATTGCGTGGAAAGAACAAGGTGTTCTTTCCATGAATGGAAACTGTCAAAGAAGCAGACTTATCTGCTGAAGTCAGTTCTTAATGAAATCAAGCCTCATGAAACAAATAAGAACTTCAAAACAGAGTTTTATTTTCGGGTACTCACCATTCAGCCTTTCATGGGAAGAAAGGATATGTAAATGATGACACAAATTTATTCCAAGTTCTTACCATAATGTTAGCGGTGTCAGGTTTTCTTTACACAAAAAAATCACCTTTAAAAGTAAATATTACTTGGGTTTGAAGTTCTAGGGATTGGGCTTTTTTCCCCTTTTTTTAAACCTACAGTTATCAGAAATTAAGGAAATACAAGAAGTGATGCTATAAGTAATTCTTAAAGTCCTTTTAAATTTTATGTACCTCTTCCTTGGATTCATAAGTATGCCATATAATTCATACTTAATTGCGTTAAAATCTTCAAACGCTTCTGTTTTCCACTAATTACTAATTGTAAGATGTAGTAGGAAGCTACGGGGAAGTAGATACTAGCACATTATCAGTAAAAAAAATTTGTGTGTGTATATATATCTGTCTGTGTGTGCATGTATACATTTTTACGTACTGATTTTTGTATTTTCTTTATCCATTTAAGCAGTGACTTTCAATTAGCCTGCCTACTAATATCAGGTCACTAAACTCTATAGCTGATGCTTTATTCTTTCGTGTGAGTTGTCATTCGTTTGCTTCAGTTGGCTGGCAAAGGTTGTTGTATATCCATTACCAGCAACACAGCACTTTGCATTTCTGAATTGACAAGCAGCTATATTGACCTAGCGCTTATTATGGGTCAACAGCTGCGTTAACCGACGGAAGGACTGAGGGGCAATTAAAATGAATTGGCAAAAATATATCTTCCTAATTTACTCCAATTTGTTATTTGTGCTAACATTGTATGGCTTCTATGGTGACACTAAACAGAATGGACCCAATAATGGCAATTAACATAAAAATATAATGGCTAATCAAATTGACAGCAACTGTTTCTCATCATCTCGACACACAATACATTATCAAAACAAACTATTATGAAGGAGGTAATTTCAGTGTTCTATTCAACCTGCTTCATATGTGCAGTCAGGGAGATGTGTACCAGCAATTACAGCTGAATCTAAAAAACTAAACAAATAACTTAATCGCTGTCGTCCTCCTTTTTTCTTCTTCAGGAAGCAGTAATCAGGATTTACTAAAAATAACTGGTGTATAATAGTATAATGATGAGGCATATCGTAGAATAGCTAATAAGGAATAAAATAAGCTTCTGTGTGTCTTTTTTTGAAATAGGTTCACATGAAGTGGAAAAAGTATACTGTTAAAATATATAAAAAATAGCAGTAGTAATAGTTGTCAAATGTCTCAACATGAGTTGCTTAATAGTTATAGATACCTTATAACATGTCAGCAGGAGTGTAAAATTAGCTGAATTTAGTAACAAACTTGGCTTGATTGGGTAGCATAGCGAAAAGCTAAGTTAAGGCAGAATTCCAAGCAGAAATAGTTTACCAGTTGCTCTTCCACTGCATTTTCAGGATTGTTCCTTGTGGTATACCGAGTTACAGTTCTATATTGGTCTAACCCCATTCTTCATTGGCTTTGTAGCTCATCAGGAAAATCGTCAAGAGTTTGTACATATCTACATATGTACTAAATGGATTACAATGGACACTACTTCCACGTTTGATGCTGTCATGGTTATCTCATTCTTAATTAGAATTTTTGTAAGGCACAACCCTTCAAACCATTGTTGGCCAATATTTGAACTCCCATATCTTAAGCAGCAGGAACTGTGATGTGGTTTTATTGAACAAGAGTTCAAGAAGATTAACTTGAAAGGGTTTAGTTGTAGTGTGGGCAAGATGGATCTCATGTCTATTCAAGCAATCTTCTAGTGCTCACAGTGGTGGCAGTGATATGAATGCATACAGGCATGTATTTTTGAACTAGAGGAGTAGCATGGAGGCTTGACATCACTGACATTGAGCATTTAATTGACTATCATATTCCACATGTACACACCTGCATATTTTTGAACAAAATGTGTGATTGCTAACATGCAGTAGCCTTCACAGATGTTTAGAGCAAGGTGATGACATAGCTCTAAAGGTATATATGCACCTGTTCTTATTTGAATGGCATGTTCACAATTTATGTAACCACAGCTGTGTGTGGGAAGGGAGAGAATACAGCCAAACACCTGCAAACACCTGTATTCATCAAAAGTATGCATTAATTCTTTTTCTTTTTTGAGATCTTTGCATTGTGCAATATACTAAAGCACTAAAGTTACTCCTTTGTCCCATCATTCTTATGACTTCAATTTTGTTGCTAAAGCATCATTGTGTGATACATGTATCTATAAGAATGGATAAATGTGATTTATTTTTCTGTAAGAATGGATAAGTTTAGTATGATTTATGTAAATGCTTGGGGTAAATTGTGAGAAAAAGTGTAGAGATGTAGTAAAGAGATTTTGCAGCATAATAATAGTAACAACAGTTCCAAAAATCTGACATTAATGGAACGTATAAATTGCTAGAAAAAACCTGAAAGAATCACCTTTTGATAGTGGACTTAGAAATGGATGCAAGAGACACACTTTTGAGTTGGGTTTTTAACTGCTATCTTCTTACATTACAGTATTCTGATAAGGCCCTGTACACTCAGCTCTGCTTTTACCGGTACATTTTTGATGTGGACTATGCAATGGATAAAGTGATTACTGAAGAGGAGAAAGGTAAGTTTAAATTTTTAATTAATTAACTATAGTTTAATAGCAACTTGCATGCTAGAAACTAGACCCGTGCATTTGTACTCTTCAAATCTGAACTACAAGGCTGCAATCTAAAACAGAAAAGAGAAGAAAGTATGATTTTAGGAATCCCCTGTAAGAGGAATGTGTTTTGCTGGAGTTAACCACTTTATATCATATGTCTCCTTTCTTAGTTTGAAGTGACTGTGCTTTTCTTGAGTGTTACACCATTAGAGAAATCTCTTTGCTTGACATTTGAAGGACACGTCAGCTTCCATAAATAGATTAGTTAAAACATACATATACAATATCTAAAAGAAAAGCCAATTAAAACTTATGTTCAACTATTAATATTGAAAAGACACTTTTTATCAGGGAGAAAATGATGGCACAAGAAAAGCAGCTGACATATTTCTGAAGGTGGGCTAATCCTTGGCCGACTTGGAATTCTGAATAAAGCCATGTTTGGGTCCCACCATTGAAGTGCGTTGTCCACAGAGAGCACTTCCACTACATCCTCTGTGCAGTTCTGGTGTTGCCTGTGAAGAAAGGTGCTGCTGCTGGAGACCCCTGTATTCTGATGGCTTCCCTGCTGTGGCAGTCTTTCCCCACCCTTACCCTGTGTGACCAGCTAGGTTGCTGGGTGATGGAGAGAGACTAAACAAAAGTCAGGCTTTAAAAATGTTGTTTTGATAAGCCTTATATGAAAATCAAAATAGTATTACCTCTTAGCAAAAAATGCTCAAAGAAGTGACCGGTCTGGTTTTGGCCTGTTGTACTTACGCTTCCTCTTTTAAAGGTTTTCATTTCCTTTCGTAATCCTCCTGAGACAGTGAATTCACTCAGATGCTTGCACTTCAGGATGGCTTTGTACATCCAAAGGGGTCAGGCTGTAGAGCCATCTCAGTCTAGTACAGCTTTGTAGATGTACTGAAGGAATGTTACATGGTGATGTTACTGCTAGCTGAAACCGAATTACTTTGTGTGTAGATCTCATAAGAGATATAAGACATAAGAGTAGAAGAGGCTTCATGGGTGATCACATCCAGTCCCCTGCTACTGTAGACCACCACATGTTTAAGGATTGCAAGTTTTTGGCACTTTATTTTGAAACCTGTGATTGGTTCTTCCCCTTTTGCTGCTGTTAAGATGTGTTTCAGACCTTTGGCCTTTGATGGCTGAAAATTCACTATAATTTTCTCATTCCAACTGGTTTGTGGGTGGTTTACGTCCATTCACTAAATGTTTATTTATTTCCCTTCCCTGATGTTCTCTACTAGGCTTTTGGAAACACTGATAACTTCTCTATTTTGTTTTAAACTGAAGCAGAGACACTCTTAGCTTTCTTTAGGAAGAATTAGTCTCTACTGCATGATTCTTCCTCTTAGCATCTTTGTGTGCAGTCTTTTCTTGGTTGAATTAATCTTTGAGTCTGAGAAATGAGGAATTACGTGGTATTTAGATGATATCTGTCCCGTGTCTTGTACCCTAAATCTGTATGCTCACTGGAAGAACATCTGCTGATGCTTTCTTGAGTCAGCTATGCCCTGTTCATAGCTGTATCATATAATTAACTTGTAGCTAAGTAATGATACAAATCTTGAGGTTTGTGGGATTATTTTTAACTCCTGTCATTTCAGAATCGTGAGTTGATATCTAAGGTTCATGGCATTTTATTTCACTGGTTTCACTCATTTTGGACTACTTAATCTCATTTGTAATTTTAGACTTTAAGGTTAATTAATTATCTCTGAGAAATAGTATGGTGGCTTCTGCATTCACATAATTTCCCACCTTCTGCCTTAATCAGAAAATGTTTCTTGGACCCTCACCACTAATTGAAGGAAGTTCAATAAAATTAGTTTCCGGAGTAATTCTCAAGGAATTGTAAGAACTCTGCTAGGACCTTCTGTTCTGTTGGACAGTTTACCTTTCAGCATGGTGTATTTTCCTCTGTTCTCTAACTATTTGAAAGTTATTGTATGATATTCAGCCAGACAGTTATTTCAGTGTTGGTGCTGTAGCAGGTAAGTCCAGATAAATTAGATCTGTTAATTTTCTTTTGAAAATTAGTTCTCTTCAAAGAGACTAAATAGGTGAGTCTGGTAAACCTACACACAATTCTGTCCCATTTTTTCAGATATATTTTGGGAGGAAGACGTCTTTCTATTGCTCTAAAATACATGCAGAACTTAAGAATAGTTGCCTATGGCTATTTAGGTCACCTTTTTATTTTATAGATACCAGTGTTCTGTTTTCTAGTAATATATGTTACTGATTTGATACACTTAATGTAACACTCTGTAGGATTGAGATAATTTTCTTATGCCAATTTTGTTGTAGTACTGAAATGAAAATTTAGTGAACTCGCCTTCATAACATGAAGCTCATGTTTATTTTCCCTTGGAAGCCAGAAAATTTTGTTTCCGTGCCATCATTCACAAACCATTCTGCCCTTGACCTGTGATCAGCATCATTGCTTTTATGAAAAATGGTGGCAAAGTTTTCATGTAGGTTTTGTACATCTTTGGTATTTTCAGTCTCTTCTTTTTATGTGATTAACCACTTATTTACTGTTGTTTTGATTTTGGTTTGGGGAGGTTCTTTGTTTTTGCTCTACGGAGCTCTTCTTTGTATCTAAAATTAGTTTTACTTTCTGAGGCTTGTTCTGTGCACGATAGGCGATCGACTATTCTCTTAGAGAGTTTTATGTATTTAAAACCTATATGCTATCTTCTAAGTCTCTTTCAACTATTAACCTGAATTTTTTGGAGGAATGGATGGAGAGTTTTCTACTTCCCTGCATGTTCACTGTTGGGGTTTTTTTATAGACCTTCAATAGGTCAGATCTACTAGAGTGGCATACAGCAGGATTAATTAACATGTCTTGCAGACTGTTCTTCTGTTTATATATGCCCGTATGGCATTTACGACATTTGCAACAACCTTGTTCACTGATATTTCATTTGTGCTGTACTGTATTTGTTATATACTGCTGTTGGTCCATCTTTTTTCTGTAAGAGTCAAAAATAAGCTAATTGGTCTACATGATGTTTTCTTGTTTCAGTGACTGCTGAAGTTAGCTGTCAATTATACCATCCAGGGATACCTGGATTATATAGTTAAGGGTCTTTAGTCCTATTATTAATAGGACCCCAAACAAATGTTTCCATTCATCTGTAAGTTCAAGGTCTGTTATGATTATATGGTTTAATAAAGTTAACATTGTGATACAGTGCACAAGGTTCTTAGTTGTCATACAATGCAAAGTGAAATTCTGAAATTCCTTTGCTGTCTTTCTAAATTAGGAACTATTGCACAGTTAGTATCAGGTCAAAAAACATTTTAATTTTCAATATCACTATTCCAAAACAGCTAATTTACACATACCAATAATGGGCTGTTTGTTCTGAATTATTTTTTAATCAGGAAAGGAAGAAGTGCTCCATTGTGATTAATAACATACTCAAAATATTTTCATCACTTTCTTACACTTAGTTTTTAAAATCTGTGTTGTGGATTTAGTCAGACATTGCTACTTAGGTGAGCAGTCAGAGCAGTAAGAAGCAGCAGCAGTAGCAAAGTAGAAGCATCCTCTGTTCAAAAAAGGATAGGTAAACTATTGGTGATTTTAAACACATGATGTTTAAATACAGGAGTAAGCTCACTCTACGCTTTAACTTAAGAAATGGAAACCAATGTATTTTTATGGCTGTGTCATCACGAGATCAAAATAGAGCATAGTAAGCTTTATATCATTTTTCCATTCAAATATTGGTATTGTTAAATATTCAAGGATATTACTGTTTTCATTTTGCTTCTGCAGTAAAATGAGAACCTTTAAAAATGAAGAGAAATGGAGCCCACATAAAGTCAGTACAGCTACTCTGCCTCACACAGATGTCTAGTTCATTTCCTGGCATCAAGCAGAAGTCTTCGTGGACGACAAGGATGCTGCAGTCTCCTTATTCACAATGACTGCAGCGTTACTGGTCATAGGATTTTTTTCTGTTCTATACTGTAGAATAGGGCTGAAAACCACCAGCTTTCCACCATCCCATTTCTAAGAGAGGGAAGGTGACAAATGTTGTTTGCAAGGCAAAGATGTTGCAGTATATTCTTTCGCAGAATATTTTCGACTATTGAGCACATGGTTTTTGGATTCAGAAAAGTCTGGGCATATCCGTTTAATGGGTAAGCAGAAGAAGGTGAGGATGGGAGGAAGATAACTTTGGGAAAACTGGTTAAATGCTCCTGTTTGTTAGGAAGACCTACATCTTGAAAATATAGGCCACTTTGTGGAAACAGAGTATAGTTGGTTTGATCATATGCTTATGGACTGCAGTTGTGTAAAACCAAATGCATATTCAGAGGATATTTTCACACTTCTGTCACAGCTTGGTGTGTGCCTCACTCCACCCTTCCATGCAAACACTGGAAGTGCCTAGTTTACTTTATGGATGCATAAACTGCAAAATTATGTTTGGAAAAATGAAACTCTTCTAGGCTGTTAGACCTAGACATAAAAAAAATAAAATTAATCTCTGAATATTTGTGTGAATCCAATCATTTCAGCATTGGGTGTTTTTCCTCAGTATGTTCGTAGTTTGGTGTGCCAAGTAGCAGGTTGAAGGGATTTTTTTTTTTTTTTAATGGAAAAGGAAGACAGTTTCTAATGGGGATGTTGACAGAGCTGCTTGTCAGTGTGGTTTAGTGTATGTCCTGGTGACGGTGGTCAGACTGAGGGAGACAGACTAATTGAAATTAGGGTGGAAAGGACAGGCCTGAGCAAGGAATTGTTCCTGCTCTGAGATACAGTGTGGAGGAGGTTCAGGGAGATGAAGGGAGGAGAACAGGTGTGAGATGGGAGCTGGAAGGATTGGATTGTGTGTGAAACTAGCATAATAAAATGGAGACTTCTGGCATCAGAACTATTTGCCAAATATTTATCAATACACAGGCAGGAAGACGACAAAAAAGTGCTT